AACTTGCTTAGCTTAAGCTTAAACTGAGAAGATTGTTAGAGCCTTAGTTTAAGGTAATTAGGCTAAAACTTGTTTAGCTTAAGCTTAAACTGAGAAGATTGTTAGAGCCTTAGTTTAAGGTAAAGAGGTTAAGATTTACTTAGCCTAAGCTTAAACTGAGAAGATTAGTAGAAGCACATGTTCATTGTGTAGTAGTGTTGCTTAGCATGCGATTAAGCTTGATCCTACATCACTATTCGACTTAGTGATCCTTTTTAAATTGTAGGAAAAAAATGATGCACACCATCCACACCAGATCTATCAGACGCGGGCGCGGTTACGGAGCACGTAGGACACCGCACGGGCTAGGACCAAATAGGGGACCCGTTGACAATCGCCGCCCCAGCGCCAGTCATGTTTCCCGCTCCCGGTCCAGAAGTGATAGTCTGGCCGACGCCTGTGAGGTGTCGTCACAAGCGCCCAACGGGAGGAGGACCACATCCGAACCATCGATGGACTACACGCCCCGCACCCCGACGAGTGAGGACATGATGGAAACTATAGAGGCCCTGGAGGGCGAAAACACAAGGCTAAGGGAGAGGTTGACCCGAACCGTAGATGACAACACTAGACTAAATGAGTGGCTGAACAATCTTCAGCGGGCACATGTCGAACAAGGAGGAGCCCTAATCGAGTTGACTGAAGAAAATGCAGATTTGTCGGACCAGTGTCATGCCCTGATTTGGGATAAGGTTGTACTTGAACAAGAACGAAGGATTGCTACTCGCCACGTAGGCACCAGAATCAAGGACAGAGTTCGCTTCTATAAAAGAGTGACCATAGATTATGCGGGCGTAGTAAAGGGCTATCTCTCCAACTGGGTTCGATGCATCAGAAATGGCCCAAGGGCTAGTGTGCTGTGGCGTTCCCTACCATCTACATCCTATGAGCAGTGGTTGAGGGACCCTTATCTCCCTTATTACCCAGCCGATCAGTTCTAGACATAGAGTCTTTTTGGAAGAAGAGGGAGAGAAATCTTTTGAGTATAGAATGTAATAGTGAAGGTCTAGATAGCTGATCAAGCTATCAATAGATTTCTTTTTTGAACAATCACATGATTAAGTGATATGTCAGGATTTCGTGAATCCCATCTTTTGTAGGTAAATGGGATTTGTAATATATCTCTCCCTGGGATTTTATTGACATTGAATATAAATATATCTTTTGAGCATTACGAAATTTTCGACGCGAATTTCTTATTATGCATTTCGCCTATACATAGTGATTATTTATATATGAATGGAATGAATTATGTTGACTTTAGAACCTTACTAAAGCAATAGTACCCTATATTATCAGTATGGTTTCTCGTGGATCAACAAGGAACGCTCTCAATGAGGGAGGCATTAATGGCTTAGCCCCACCGGCAGTTCGAGGACGGACACGGGCCCAGGGTCGAGGTCGCGGAAGTGCCCGAGCCGCTAATTCGAGTATGGCCCCATCCACGCCAGCTAGTTTGGCTGTCGGTAGGAGCCAAGGGGATCAAGGGGAAGAATTTCCTCTCACGAAGGAAACAATGGCGGAGCAGATGGCACAAGTCCTCCGGGACACATTGTCAGACATGCTTAAGGAAATGTTAGGCGACCAATTTAAGGATAGTGAAGAAGGAAGGGAAGAAAGTGTTCAACATGAGAACACTCAAGCCACCGGGAATGTGGAAGTATCTGTCAAGGAGAAGGAAGAATCGCCCATCATGGGGATCACCGAGTTGGCAGCAAAAGAGAGAGGATGCAGCTTCAAAACATTCAAGGGCACCGGGCCAAAGGAGGTTAAAGGAATATAAGGCCCAGTTGGCCTGATGAACTGGATAGCCAAGATGCAAAGTTGTTTCAAAATTTGTAGATGCACGGAAGAACAAAAGGTAACTTATGCTGCTACGACCTTTGTGGACTATGCACTACACTGGTGGGAGACTGAGTGCGCAGTCAGAGGTGATGAGGAGATTGCTGCCATGGCATGGGAGCAAGTGAAGAAGATGATGATGGATAAGTACTGCTCGCAAACAGAAGTGAACAAGCTAGAATCCGAATTTCTAAGGTTGAAGCAAGGATCGTTGTCAATACAAGAATATGTCAACGAGTTTCTTGAAAAGGCAAGGTTCGTCAAGTATCAGGTGGCCACCGAGGAGAGAAAGATAGGCCGTTTCAAGGATGGCTTAAAAATCGAGATCAAGTGGTATGTGGACATGACTAAACCAGCCACGTTCGTACAAGCAGTGGAGATGGCAAAGGTGGCGGAAGAGAACAACGCTAGAGAAGGTAGTGATAGAAAAGAGGTGAAGAGAAGATGGGAAGGATCGAGCAAGTTTCACAAGAAATCCAAATGGATTCCAACTCCGACAAAAACCCGAAGCGAGGAACTCACCATTCTTCCATGTAGCAAATGCAACAAGAGGCACAAGGGAGAGTGCATAGTGGGGAGCCTGACGTGCTACCGGTGTAACAAACCGGGGCATACCGCATGAGAATGCCCGGAAGGAAGGACATGTTATGAATGCGGAGCTACGGGACATTTGCGTCCTGACTGTCCAAAACGTCGCAATGGTGCGACACCCCACGGGAAGACAGGGAATAACGGGTTTGGAAGAAGACCGGAAGGTAGGAAGGAGCTACCTAAGGGACACGGTCGAGCTTAAAACATGACTTGGGAAGAGGCGAAGGAAACACCCGATGTCGTATCTGGTATGTTCCCTATCAACAATGTGTATGCACATGTGTTATTTGATTCGGGTGCGAATGGTAGTTTTGTGTCTACTGCTTTCTGCCACTATCTGGATAAGAGTGCCTGTAGGCTAGATAAAACCTACACTGTAGAAACAGCCAACGGTAGTCAGTGTAAGGTAGACGAAGTATTTGATGAATGCAAAATCGTTATAGATGGGAAGGATTTCCCTGTTAAGCTTATGCCAATGAGCCTAGGAGGTTTTGACATAGTCTTGGGAATGGACTGGCTGTCTGCCAATCATGCACAAATAGTATGCAATAAAAAGATGGTCAAGATTCGAACTCCAAAAGGAGAAACGATCCAGGTTTACGGTGATCGAAAGAAGGGTTGCGTAGGGCTGATCAATGCCATTAAGGCAAATAAGTGTCTGCGGAAGGGTTGCGTAGCTTACTTGGCATACACCATCGACGCCAAGCTCGAAAAGAAAGCAATACAAGATGTACCGGTAGTAAGGGACTACCCGGAAGTATTTCTAGATGAGTTACCAGGAATACCCCTGGAACGTCAGGTAGAGTTCCAAATTGATCTGATACCAGGTGCGACACCGATCGCAAGGGCACCTTATCGTTTAACCCCAACCGAAATGCAAGAGCTGATGAAGCAATTGCAGGAGCTCTTAGATAAAGGATTTATTAGGCCAAGCTCGTCGCCATGGGGAGGACCAATTTTATTCGTCAAGAAGAAGGACGGCACGATGAGGATGTGCATCGATTATCGGGAACTGAACAAAATCACGATAAAGAACAGGTTCGACGACCTTTTCGATCAGCTGCAAGGAGCCAGCTGTTTCTCGAAGATCGATTTGAGATCAGGCTACCATCAGTTGAGGGTTCGAGAAGAAGACGTATCAAAGACAGCTTTTAGGACTCGATACGGGCATTACGAATTTGTAGTAATGCCGTTCGGATTGACAAACGCACCTGCGGCATTCATGGACTTAATGAATCGAGTATGTGATCCGTATTTGGACCAATTTGTCATAGTCTTTATAGATGACATTTTGATCTATTCGAAGAATAAGGAGGAGCATGAGCAACAYTTAAGATTGATTCTTGAACTGCTAGCAAAGGAGCAATTGTACGCCAAATTCTCAAAATGTGAGTTTTGGTTGCATGAGGTACAATTCCTCGGTCACGTAGTCAATACGGAAGGGATCAAGGTGGACCCGGCTAAGATTGATACAATTATGAATTGGGAATCGCCAAAGTCAGTATTGGAGATCCGAAGTTTTCTAGGCCTAGCTGGGTATTACCGAAGGTTCATCCAGGATTTCTCCAAAATAGCAACGCGTTTGACGACGTTGACTAACAAGTCGGTTAGGTTTGATTGGGGAACGAAACAAGAAGAAGCGTTCCAGATACTTAAGGAGAAACTAAGCACCGCACCGGTCTTATCCCTACCGGAAGGAGTAGAAGATTTCGTCGTATATAGCGATGCGTCAAAAATTGGGTTAGGTTGTGTGCTAATGCAACGAGGCAAGGTCATTGCATATGCATCACGACAGTTGAAAGAACACGAGAAGAGATACCCAACTCACGACATGGAATTAGCAGATGTTGTCTTCGTGCTAAAAATCTGGAGACACTATTTATACGGCACCAAGTGCATGATCTATACCGATCATAAGAGTCTTAAATACTTGTTTGATCAAAAGGAGCTAAATATGAGGCAAAGGAGGTGGATGGAACTACTTAAGGATTATGATTGTGAGATTCACTACCATCCAGGCAAGGCAAATGTAGTTGCCGATGCACTGAGTAGGAAGGAGAGAAACGGACCATTCAGGGTTCGAGCCATGTGGATGAGTGTTAAGGTGGAGCTTCTAGACCGTATACGGGATGTCCAGAGGGAAGCTTTACTTGAAGCAAATATCAAAAGGGAGAGAATGATAGGACAAATTAAGACYTTGACAGCTGGACCAGATGGGATATATAGGCATGGGAATCGGATTTGGATTCCTAGTTTGGGGGACCTAAGAAATATAGTGATGGATGAAGCACATAAGTCCAAATACACTATGCACCCAGGTAGTAATAAGATGTACAAGAACATTAAGGAAAACTATTGGTGGCCCGACATGAAAAGGGCAGTAGCCAACTACGTGGGAAAATGTTTGACGTTCTTGAAAGTGAAGACCGAGCATCAAAAACCATCGGGAATGTTGCAACTAATGGAGATCCCAGTCTGGAAGTGGGATATGATCACGATGGACTTCGTCACCAAACTTCCGAGAACAATAAAGGGGCACGATGCCATATGGGTGATTATGGACCGATTGACAAAATCCGCTCATTTCTTGCCGATCAGTGACAAGTATACATTAGAAAGATTGGCCCAGCTCTATGTCAATGAAATTGTGTCAAGACATGGGGTGCCAATCTCCATCGTCTCAGATAGAGATGCTAGGCTTACCTCGAGGTTTTGGTCAAGCTTCCAACAAGAAATGGGAACGCGATTGAACATAAGTACTGCATATCATCCTCAAACTGATGGCCAGAGTGAGAGGACAATACAAACACTAGAAGATATGCTGAGAGCCTGTGTAATTGACTTTGGAGGTAGTTGGGACAACCACCTCCCATTGATAGAATTTGCTTATAACAATAGTTATCACTCAAGCATCAAGGCGGCACCATTTGAAGCGCTATATGGCCGTAAGTGTAAAACTCCGATTTGTTGGGCAGACATTGGATAAAGACAATTAGCTGGACTTGAGTTAGTCCAACAGACATCTGATAAGATAGTACAGATCAAAGAAAGGTTAAAGGTTGCACAAGACAGACAAAAGAGTTATGTGGATAGAAGGCGACGACCTTTGGAATTCCAAGTAGGTGATAAGGTCTTGTTGAAAATATCACCGTGGAAAGGAGTTGTAAGATTTGGAAAGAAAGGCAAGCTAAGTCCAAGGTATATCRGACCATTTGAAATAACTGCAAGAGTAGGAGCAGTTGCTTATCRGTTGAAGCTACCAGAGGAATTAGGAAGTATTCACAATACCTTCCAYGTKTCAAACTTGCGAAAGTGTTTAGCTGATGAATCAGCTGTTTTGGATTTGGAAGACATCGAGGTTAACGACAAACTCGCCTATGTGGAAGAGCCAATTGGTATATTGGATAAGAAGACGAAAAGACTAAGAAACAAAAGTATACCATTGGTGTTGGTTAAGTGGAAATTCCATAAGGGCGCAGAAATGAYGTGGGAGCYCGAAGAAGAAATGAAATCTAGCTATCCCCAGTTATTTTAGCAAGTGTTAATTCCGAGGACGGAATTTCTTGAAGGAGGGGAGAGTTGTAAAACCCAAAATTTGAGAATAAATAATTTATCTTTATTTACAATTTCTATTTTTAATTATATTAAATAGAAATTTAATAATAAGTCTAAAATCGGGCCAAAAGAGAAAGAAAAGTCAAGCCATGGGCGAAGGTGTAATTTCG